AGAGCGCTTGTCCTGGGGTCAAGCCTCAGCAGCCCCCGGATTACAGCACTGCAATGGGTAATGTGACAAGGCATAAAGCCAAGAAAATGACTGTACATACAGGAATTATGAGAACCACTCAGAAATGCAGGGCCTTGGAGTAACTTGATACCAATATGAAGACTACAGAGAAAACTCTTTCATATAGTGTGGTTTCATTGCATGACCAATATTACAGTAGGATTTCAGAAACTGTACAATAACCAAAGCACAATTTTTACTGTAGGGCATCCACCACACAATACTGCACATTAAAGTCAAACCAAGTAATATTTGGACTTCATGCCATTCTAATACTTTCCCTTACTTACATCAAGGACATAAATAAAACTCCTGTGTAGAGGGCTTGGGTAGAAGTAGCTTAATTAGTCTTGTACTTCCAGCTAACACCCTTACAAATTGTAATTCAGCTGTCTGCACTGAAGTGAGTACATGCCCGTTCCCAAGGCAAGCTTTGCTCTTAGCCAGCTATGGAATTTTTTGGCTTCTAGTTTGCTTAAGTTAAAGCAGCCTTGAGGCTGCTCTAACTTCAGCTAGTTTGTCCACAGTTTACAGCCAATAAGCAGTTTCACATGAAATGCTCACAAAGAAACATAAAGGACCAATAAATTACTACAGTAGACAGTTCTTCCTCCATATCAACAGTTATCTCCAAAACTGAGAGGTTGTACAATCTTACTCTTAAGTTCAAAAAACACTTTGTCCTGTTTAAATGAGACATTAAATCACACATTATAATGCTATGCGGAAAGTAACACCAAGTGGAGCAAAGCGTTACAACGTCAAGGTCAACAACACGTTAACACAGAAGAGAGCAAAGCTCCATGCACGCCTTTAAGTACAAGATCCAACTGGACAAAATCTTGAGCAACCTGCTCAAGCTGACTCTGCCTTGAGCTGGGGGGTTGGGCTAGATGATCTTCAGAGATCCTTCCCGACCTCAACCATTCTGTGAAGATTTGCTATTTTCTAATTTTGTGACAACAGCATGGTACCACACTTAGACTGAAAACAACACAAAAAGGTTAAGGCTCCATTATGGCATTAACTGTCAAAGTCCTGCATGAGGCTCCCGTGTAGTTATGAGACATCCATGCTCATTCACCAGGCCAACCCTCTGCTTTGTCATCTTCTGTTCCTCTTCCTCTCCCCTCCATCGCTCCCCCTCCAGAAAACCATAAAGCCTGGTTTGGTCAAGCTGAATTATTGCTAACTTCTTCTGTGCTTAGCCAAAATTATACTGGTCTAGCAAAGTGGTTCCTGGCAGCCATCAAAATACAGTTACACCTGTATGCCAGAAATACTGAAAAGAAAGCAACCATTTAAAAAAAATCCTGCATCAAAAGTGATGCTCTGTTCTTTAGGAATCCAGTCGTTTTGTACATTTTTAACTACTGTTACTTTGCCTGCAGTGCAGGTAACTGAAATCCATTTCATTTTCCAGAATAATGTATTAATTTCATTTGCACAGAAATGGCTATAGACTGTCTGCTCTTAACAAAAACAATAATCTATCTCAATTTGCGTCCTCTTGGTCCGTAAAAGGTAAGTATTGCAAAACACGTAGTCCCACTACTCACCGCAGAAAACCATTCACTAACTAGTCTAAAACCTGCGGTAAGCTCGGGAGAAAATGAGCCACAAGCGCGTGGTTTCACACCTTGCTAGCTCAGCAGATGCAAACAAACCACGCACATTAAAACTCTTCTTGGCTTATGAAAATGCCAAATGGGTAATAACACGCAACTCAAAGCACGTCATCTCAGTATATCATAAACTGTCCTAAATTTATCCCCACAGTGGTAAAAGACAGGTTAATTCTAACATTTCCATTTTGCAACCATGTAGTTCGAACGTGAAAACAATTAAAGCACAATTTTATTTTAACATTAGCTAATCTGATTTAAAGATACCTGAAATCATTTTTTGAGTGATGGCATCTTAGGTGTTATTTAAATTATCTTATTTACAATTATCAATTATGTTTGCTGCTGAAACTCCAAAGCAAATTAAACAAGTCAATTGAGGAGAAATCTGTGACAAAGCAACTGGAACCAGTCCATTTACGCAATAAGCCAGATTTTGACAGCAACAGCATCTTCTGCAAGAAGGGAGAATATTTTCCTCATTTCAAATACTCAGTTTAGTTCAGAATGATCGCTAGTTCATTCCAGGTTGAGAAACAAATTCGGAATAGAAAAAGCAAGTAAACTTGGTTTTTTTCTTCCAGTCTGCAAACAAGAAGTAGGTGTGGGAGGCTGAGATCTACTAGCTCCAATGCCTTGACAAGCACAGCCTCAAGTCACCAGTTTCATTTGTTTAGTACTGGTCACATTACACTGCTTAGTTATAAATACAAAATAGGCTGAGATTTTTTTTTTCCTAAATACTCAGCACATTTAATATTGCTTATTAGTTTAAAAACAGCAAATGAAAATGTTTGTTTTCGATGTTATAATCCAATTTCCACCCAAAAGCAGCTTGAAAAAGATCACAACTGAAAGATTAATCATGCAACAAATCATCAATCATTTTCAAAAAAGCATAAAGACTAAGTAAATCTATGTAAATGTATACAGTTACTTAGATGCATACAGAGTACATCCTTCTCATTATTAAGAACAACCTTTTTTTCTTTTTGCCAAGACTGCATTTATTTGCAAGTGAGTGCCTTAGAGGTTATCAAAGAGAAGAGTCAATTTTTCTTTAGGAGAAGAAATAAAAGCTACAAATGTTAAACAAGATTAACATGGACCATTTCAATCAAGGCCTCTGACTTGTCAACTTCAACCAACTCACCCTCTAAACAGGGTATATGTGTGGCATAATAAAGGGTTGAATACTGATCCTTTAACGACAACTAGGATTAATATTCAGGTATCACGAAAACCAGTACATATCATTACCCAGATTCTCTGACACATAACATTTCTAAAAAGCCTGAACAGAAAAAGACAGGGAGAGTCACACCTACATTTTAACTGTTCTACCCATATCAAAACTTGTAAATTTTCCTCTCCCAGCTATAGAAATTCCCCCAGTATAATTTTTTTTTTTTTTTAATTCACCTATTTGAATACAGAAGACTTAAAGGTTGTGTTTTACCGTAAACTGAAGTGGTGTAGCTTGCAACACTTTATGACATCTCTAGTACCCTCTGTAACAAGGACACTAAAACTTTGCAGGCAAAGAAAATGAACTTTTCCTTTACAGTAACATCTTGATCAAACACACACTCACACTTACAAGACGGTTGGGTTCCTACTTTATAAACAATTTGTATTGAAAGAATTTGGGTCAAGGACAGCCTACCACCAATAACAGCCTACATCTCCCTACAATTACTGGCCAATAAGTAGCACAAGTATCTTAAAAGCATCTATTCCATCACGTTAACAAAACTTAATTGGACCGCAAAGGTCTGAAAAAATCACTTTGCCTGCTGAGACAGCCCCACAAAAGCGTATCTCAGAAGTCCCCAAAAGATCAACAAATGGTTTGCTGCCACCAAGCAAACTCACCACGTCTCTTTTCCATGTGCCAGCATTGTGCTAAACAGCAACTCTGATATCTCAGCATTACTGCTGTGAGCCTTCTAAAGCAGGCTGCAGTTCAGAAGTAGACTTTTTATTTTAGTATCTAGTAAAGCACATTTAACAGACCAAAGTAAGGAAGTCAGTTCTGGTTGGTGAGGAAGTTTAGGCATTCACTGCTTTTTTTGGATGTGAAAATAAAACTTTATCAACCAGTACAAAATGTTTATTATACATCAGACCACAAAAATGAGATCAGATTCTCTGTTTTCATGGTCAGCACAGTAAAACTTTGTGCAGTAAGTCTGAAACTAACAAGGGATTGTACAGTCATGAAACAGGCTTAATCAATCTTTATTTCTTTTGTGCCATAATAAAACATTTTTGTCTGTTGTTTTCTCTCTTAACAAATATATCTTATAGTTAGCTACACAAAACCAAGCTGAGTTCGGGGGGAGGAGAGATCTTTTTACTTTGAAATGATAACTGCAACTTAGAGGCTTTGCTCTGTTGATTCTGAACTGCGACAAATGGAGTTATTTCCTCACATTCCTGTTGTATAATTCTTCCTTTACCAGCCTTCAGCTATCAGCAGATCAGAGCTCCAGTTTACTCTGGAGCTGGCAGTAAACAAAAGAACAAATCTGCACTGTTTCCTCTGAAAAAAGAAATTGTAGCCCTTGTCCAAATATATTAAAACATTGAAACATGCAGGACGATTAAGGAGTTGTGTATTAGATAAATGAGGTAGTGTGCTCAACAGATTAAAAAAAAGAAAGAGAAGAATTAAGTGGAAAGATTTACATATTTGTAGAGCACAAACAAGGCATTGTCAAATAGTTCCAGCCATCAAATGGAGCCTAATTTAAGTTACAACTCTGTGGAAGGAGTAGCCTGTAGATTCAAACTATTGTGTTAATGAACAACTCAGCTGTTACTTCTTGATGACGAATGCACAATAGTCATACTTTTCCTTAACAGACCTGCAATACATTTGCTCTACTGCTGAAGCATAAGAGCACCCAGCTTGCAGGGGGAGCCATCTAGGAACTAATAAAAGCCACATTTTTCATTTAAATATTGACTTTCATCTGAAAGTAATAAACAAATATTCCATTGAAGGGATCTTTAATGAGTTACATGGCAAAAGACAGATATTTTTTCCTCTTTTTTCTCAGCTCAACATTGGTGGGCACCAGCGTTGTTTCCTTTACATCACTGATGATGCACCTTATCCCCAGATGATGTGTTACATCTATGCAACAGCTCTGCCAATGGATGGAAACAGTTTAGCATGGGAAATAAGGAAAAAAGAACCAGCCCGCTACAAACTACAGCCAGGTATTTATTTATTTAAAAGACAAATGTCCAAATTCAGACAAGAGGAAGGAAAAAAAAAAATCTTAAAACCCCCAGCCCTGTTAAAACATCCAATATCTAAACCAACATTTCTCCAGCACATAGTGCTCCCCAGCATTACACTGTGGGTTTGATCCAGTACTTCTGTTCCACCTTTTGAATCTCATTTAGTTTCTAAGCACTCCTGTCAGCTTCTGACTTGGCATCAGCCTTAGCCTGATGGGACCACATGGTAGGTTGAGGACTGAATGACAGGACTGCCAGGCAAAGTGCCAGGAGCAGAAAAGAAAGGGAAATAATAACAACATTTGTAGATAAACAATAAGAGACCATCAGGAAGGAAACCTGCTCTTTCCAAGGTTTAATGTATTAAAACACTGCAGAATGTTCTCACAGCCCAGCAGCAGCTGAAACACCCAGCAGCCCGGAACACAAATTGATGACATTCACAATTAAAGGGCTTATGTCCTTCGTTAGTCCAAACAAGTAACTTCTATTCTCTCTCCTTCTCATTTATCTGATTCTCACTAGCTCTTACTCATCCTGAATATCCACCAGCAAGTTCAGCACCATACATGCACATGGTGACGCAAACAAGAAGGCAAAGTGCTTTGGGGAAGGGCAGGCAGGTGGCTTTAGCCATGAGGCTTCCCATCACTCCAGCCTCCTGTGGTGTCTGGACATCAGCGCTCGGTCCTTCTGTAACAGATGGTAACCAAGTCAGACTAAAAAAGAAGTCCCCAAACCTCAGATATCACACACACATACACCCCCAAAAGGTAAAAAAAAAAAAAAAAAAAGGAAAAAAATCGAGACATTTGGGAGTCTTTGACACACCAAAAGAAAAGACCAGCAACCTGTTTTAGATGAGCAAACACCGTTTTACAACTTGCAAAAGCATTTATTCAGTGGTCTTCCTAGGACATGCAGGATGGCAGAAGTCAAGGGGGAAAACAAAAAAAAAGGTTTTAACAACAGGAGTAACTTGCCTTTGCCAGATGACCACCCAATGTTGCAGAGCAATCTGTATGTCATATAAGGGCATAAATGACATTTGTTTGTCTGAGTTCATACCAAAGAAAACAGACTACTGATCTCTTGAATGTCCTCAAATGATGCACAGATACATTTTAAGCACTTGTTTGTCCTATTATGCTCTGAAATCCAAAATAGACCTTTTATTACAGTATCTCAAATTTCAGGACAACTAGACAGTAAACAAGTGATCAGGGAATGAGAAACACTTATATTAATAGCAACAACACACTGTTCGTAAGTAGAGGTGTCAATTATTACTAAGCAAAATGGATAGATTACCAAAAATACCACCACAAACTTAGCAAAAGTAACAAAATTAGTTGCATTTTTTGTTCAAAGACCAAAGAAAATCCAGCTTATTCTGTACAGTTTATCATTGTTTACTTCTTGCTACATTTTTATTAGAATGAATAGTTTTATGCACCTCTCCACTCTAAGAATACCTCCTGCCTCCGAGCATCCCATGGTAGAGGCTGCATGACAAGCAGCGTCGAACATGGGGCAGAGCCCAGCCTGGCTCTTCCACCCTATCCAGCTTCTCCGAGAAGCATCTCACTTGCACCGCCAGCCTTCTGTATTTAGTGCCAAATCTGCAAGCTTGCAAAGGGCCTGTAATTCTGCTTCAAGTCACCAATATAGACAAACTCCACCTCTAGAAGAAGACCTGACCATCTTGGAAAAGAAACCAGACTGACAGATGCTTTTGAAATGGCTGCCTTAAACACTTCTGTGACCAAGGTCTCGTCCTTTACACATGCAGAATTTGTTCCTTCTCTTCAGCATGCTGAAATAATGACCATCTCAAACTAAACAGTATCAGAAAACTCTCAGTTAGAGATTTTAAAATTGGTGATGCTAGACACGTGACCTGCAATTATTTTAACTGCCCAGTCCCATGAACAAACTAACCTCTGAACTTCATCCTGGTTATAACTTAATAGAATAATAAGAATTATATGAATAATAACAATTATTATAAGAAATAACTTACAGAATTTAAATAATACCTTTCTCCCTCAACTACTTTATTTCACTGTTTACCACCAAATCTTTATATTAGGTACCGGAACAGAGAGAGGAAAGGCTACTTGTTAAGTCATTGGCTCCAGATGTTCAAGGGTCTACCAAAGCATTACCCAGAAATCAGACTAATTACATTATACAGATACAGTGCTTGGAAGAACCCTGACCCCACTTTATTCTCCAGAACTTAAACTCTCCATATATTTTTATATACACTCAAAAGACAAGGTCAGGCTCACCTTCCTTTTCCCTATTGCGTGCACTGGTGGCTCAGTGCAAGCATTATCCAAGACTGTCCTTCCTCCCCCTCCATTCAGATTTAATTCCTATGCAGTAAAAGGAAACGCAGTTAAAAATATTTTGCAATTAGGAAAAAAAATCAAGACAGGAATGTAGCAGCACATTAGTACATCTATCTGCCGTACTAGACGTAACCTGCCTCAAGCAGGTTACTTGTGGCACATCACCCAATAGCATGAGATGGTTTAACTCTGACCAAGGAAGTGGAGACACTTAATTTTGGTGGGAGGGAAGCTGTTCTTTTTGCAGCACACAGGGAGCTGAAGGTGGGAGTTTACAGATGAGCACAGTTCTCTGCCCTAGAGAACTAACATTTACAGAGGCATGTACAACAGAAAAAGGAGACAATGTTAAAACCAGGCACAGTTGTTATATTTACATACATAAACACGTGGCACCCCTTCTGAATAGATGAAGATCCTTGGCACCAAGGAACTCTCAAGCCAAACATGGACACACCACCATCAGTAAAACACTAGGATGATGATGACAGCAACAGCAAAAAGATTAGACACGTGCAAATCTTCAGCATGCAACTAAAAATTGCACGGGTCTGATCCTCCACTAGGGTGCCTGCAGAGCTCAGTTGAAATCAATAGGTCTGCACTTATTTACACAAGCAGAGCATCAAGAGTACATTGCTCAGTGTAACTGCTTAGGAGTTTCACTACTATTTATTTCTGGACTACCTGTCTTAATGCAACTTTGCATAAAATACCTCATGCCTAACTTAAAGTTATGATTAATAGTGTTTTTCTTTCAGCTCAGTTCAGCCCACTGTTTTATTCACTACTGGTCTCACCTCTTCACCTCGTTAACTGCTTTCTTGCTTCTGGCCATCGAAATAGTTCCAAAATTGCTGTTCTTTGTTCAAAAAACACTGCTATTGTAACAGAAACTAAATTAAAAGACTCATGTCATGAACAAGGGCAGACTGAAAGTGGCAAAAGGCCAAACAAAAAGAGGGAGATTTGTTACTTTTCCTTCCCAAGAGGATTAAGAAAAACATACAAGACTTAAAAAATTGTTCAGCCCTTTTCCCTGCTGTATGAGAACATGAAAGAGACTCCAATACTCCCTCCAGATCACTTCTCAGAAGAGCCTATGTAAAAATTGTAGAGTTTCTTGCATGACTAACATAAGGATACTGATGACGTCATTGCCACCTCTCTGGATCACCTCTGTCCCACAAATCATTATTTCTTATTGGCAGCCTTGCAGCACAGGTAAAAACTCTGTTTAAGGTCTCACTGGAAAAAACGTAGGTGGTGTAAGTAACTGGCATCTTTGCTCTCTCATCAGAAAAGATTAGCAGGGATGTAGGCCACCTTCCCCTTTCATCCCCCAAGTGGTCCTTTTCAGACGGGGTGGTTGGGAGGGGAGATTTATCTTGCACCCATATAAAAAGTTGTTGTCTCCTGGGCATGTTCACTTCTTAAAGGAGGAGGAAAAAGAAACAGTGGGATCATATATTTATGGAGTTACGTCTCCCAGAGACCCTCACCTTCCTCATACACATGGTGTTCATCAAAGCAGAAGGTCCGTGGGGCAGGGACCTTGTTTGCCTCGGGGCATGTAAAAAGCATGCAAGAGAAAGCAATGTTTCAGTACTATCACTTGTCTTAGGAATGACACAAACAAGCTTCCCCTTCTCTCCCCTGCATCTCTACTGTCTGCAAAAACAACAAAACAAACAAAAGGGAAATAAACAGAAGTTTCCCATGCCAACAAACCTTTCCACAAACAGTTTTTGTTCCTGACTAGTGAGATTCCATGAAAGCTGTGAAAGATTATCAATACTCACTGTGCATGGAAAGGGCCAGACACCACAGTGACCAGGGGCAATACCAAACTGTCAAGTGCTGCACCCAAATGCAAGACAAGGTATCACACCCCAAAGGGCTCATCTTACTGTCCTAACCCTTTCACAGCTCTCTAACGCTGAAGATGTGAAATGCAGTGTGAAACAAAAAGACAACAGGACCATCCCTGAACTTAAAAAAATAAAAAACCAATTCACTAAAACCCAGTCTATGCATTAGGAGTGACAGATTTAAAGATTTCACTGTTGACGTTAACAGTGACCTTTTAAGCACGGGGGGGGGGGGGGGGGGGGGCAACAAACCCTCCAAAAAATCAGCAACCACTTTCAATAATAATGAAATAACACATTAAAAATAGAAATTTAAGATTGAAGAGCCTTTAAGGCCCTGTTGAGTATTCAGGGACAACAGTAAACAAGGTGCTGATATGCTTTACACTGCAAACAACGTCAGTGGTGAGCCAAATGGGATGAGCCCCAAATCAGAGTGAAATTTCAATGCATTAAGTTTAACTGTAAGATAAGGGACTGTAATCAAATTACACCACAAATAGGTCCATTCATCCGTAAGCATTATCGCAGAGAGAGGATTGAATTACAGCTTGGAATAAAACAATTTAAGAAATAAAAAGCAAATTTATTATCTATTTATTATTTTCCTACTGCCAAAGAAAATTTCCCACCTTCATACAGGAATGCTACCTGAGATGAATCTGGGGAGAAAACTGAAATACTAATTATCAGGCTGGAAAAACAAGAAGAGTTTGAGTTGTGTTATTTACATTCCCATTCCTCTTTCTGAATAGAGCAACAAAGTCAACAAGCTAAGAGAAGACACAAGAATATGCATTTGCAATTCAAGTTGTTTTGCTGAGAAAGGCCTAGGCAGCTTATATACATTCAACAAACTGGCCAGAGGATTTTTTTTTTTCCCCTCCCCCTAAAAAAAAGTGCCTTCCACTACGTTTTTCTTTTTTTTCCCCCTAAAGCTATCACAATCCATATTACTCAATACCACAATTTTTACAGAGAACCAAGTGCAAGGCACGCATTTGCCCCCCGTCCTCCTCCAATTTGGCAGCACTGGAAAAGCACCTTTTAAAACAAACACGCGTGTGGACGATTCGCTCTTTCAGTAAGTGCTGCAAGGAACAACAACCGGGGGGGGGGGGGGAAAAAAAAAAAAAAAAAAAAAAGGGGGGGGCGAGAGGAAAAGAAAACCGCTCCTCCTCCTCCTCCTCCTCCTCCTCCCGTCGCTGTTGTTGCCTTTGTTGTCCGGCGGTCGCCCCGTGCCTGCAGCCTGCCCCGGCCGGGCCCCCCCGGCCCCCACCTGTTTTCATTCATCCGCTCATCGCAGCGCGCAGCTCCCGGGCGAGCTGGCCCGGGAAGGGCGGCAGGAGCCTCGCGGGGGGCTGCCCTAAAACGCTACGGGGGGGGCCCCCCAC